AGTAAATGTTTAAACCTCCTAAAATAAATACATTTCAGATGAACACGAAATAAAAATATATATTCCAGCGTAAAAGAATATTATAAAATCGACGTCACTAAGAACACAGTTGTATTTAAGTAAAGGTAATGATCGGAACTCTCACGGAGACAAACTGTGCAAAGTATTGGGTAATGATAAATAGATTAAAATAAAAAAAGAATCAATATATGTATAACATCACACAAAAGTATTAGATAAGGAGTCTGCCAGAAGAAAATCACTAGCCTTTAAAGTAACTAAAGCGGAAACGACAAAATGTCAAACTAAGAGAAAAGGAAGGCAAGCATGAGAGAAGATAGAACCGGAGCTAAGATAGTGTAACAATTAATAATCGGTGTCAATCATTTCATAGAAATAAATGTCTGATAAAATGCTTCTATATATACCATTTAAGAAAGCAAGGCTTACAGAAAGCGGGAGGTTCGGACGTTGATAGAAAAAAGTAAAGAAAAACTGCGGTAAAAAGGCATAACAAGCCTAAAGAAGACATCCTCACCTGGCAAATAGTAAAGAAAGTGGAGACAGTCTGATTGTCTGGTATGGTACCTGATATTGTAGAGGACACTTGAAAATCCGGCATCCGCCAGTAAGCAGCGGCCCTCTAAATTCTTAAAATGTCTACTAATGCTATTATAAAGAAAGCTTTATGGGCTTATGAAAATATAATAGCAAATACATTTAAATATGATACTTAGCGCATTCCACTCTTCAGTAAGGCAGCACCAAGTCTGCATATTAAACTGTACATTCCTAAAGATGAAATGGCAATATACATAAAAAAACTATATACACAAAACTTTGCTATGGAGTAGGACATTGATAACAAAGTAAAACCGACTGATGAGTTCTACGTTAAATATTACCTGGCTGCTAGTAACATTCGGTTGTCCATTAGCTGATTCAGCAACTGAGACAGAGGCTAGGTTGGGCGCGCCAGAACAAGCAGTTTCAGTGCGTCTGTTAGCCAAATATATCATATATTGATCAAAATGATGCTCTTGAAGTTGAGCAATCAGTTGTGCTTGCTGAAATAGAATTGAAATAATATATGAAATAGGCGAAGAAATTAATGCAGTTACACTAGGGGTAATATCAAATAATGCAAGGAAAGAAGTATAATGAAAAAATCTTTTTGAAAAATTAATACATAAGGATGCTCAACGATAAATGTGAACAAGAGTAAATTCAGAAGTTTGAAGCACTTGGCTGGAGCAAGAACAATTAGCCGATTTCTTGACAACAGCTCAAGAAACGAAATAAGTGGACGCCTACATGAATTATGGAGATGACCCATTAGTTATGCAAGGGCTTCTATGGATTTGCACAATAATAAGCAAACATTTAATGCAAAAATAATAATATTCAGGCAAATGCCCTGGTTTAAGTTATTACTATCAAATGTACCAAGAAGGTAAACTATTAGATGTACAAATAAAATTTTAAGGATATGCACGAATATATATATATATAATTTATATTAACTGGAGCATTTATAAATTCAGATAAGCATAATAAAAGAATATATCAGGTCAGCTAAGAAGCAAACACCCGCACCAATAATCACACAGCGGGTTGTTTGATAGGCCACGCCCAAAATATTGACACTAAGGATGAATGAAAAGAATGACTTCGCAAACACACACACACACTCACATACAAAATAATGCACAAAGAATAACATAGATTAGAGAAAATAATCCAGAAAAACGCATCAAGTAGGACAGATGTTTTGGCAGGAGTCGAGTGAAATAGGTGAACAAGGGGTAGAACAGACGGATTTTACG